AGTGCCAACAATGTGCTGTAAAAAAAACCTTTTTTCATGTACTCTAGCGCGGTATATAAAAACTGAGTTACACATTTAGGGAGCATTCCTCTCTGGCTAAGGTGTGTGAACAATTGTATATCGATGGCTGACCGATCGCGCAACGAGATTCGAGTGCAAATTCTACTGAATTAACGGTAATCATCTGCTTTGAGAAAAAATGTAAACGTGTATGATTCTGATATACCAAAACTTCTCAACAAGTTCATATGGTTTTCGTGCACAAGCTTACGCTTATTAGCGGGTTTACTTGGCATTATGAAATGTAGATGAAAAGTACCCACAGAACGATAGAAAAGAGTTATCTTCACAATCCAGTGCGAAAAGAAACTAGCAATCATTGAAAAACAGGGGAAAGATGTAAACTTTGCTTGCTGCTACAGCACTGTGGAGGTCATTTGAGTAAACAAGCACAGTGATGGAATCTTCGAGATTTAGCTGACGAATGGCTATTAAAAGTTAGAAAAAGTGGAAATGTCTTGTTTTTCGGAAGATCGAATGGTTTCAGAAAACGGAAAAGTACCATGGAACTCCCACTGGTGCCCTGTCATCCAACGATGAATGGTAAGATAGTGATACAGGTGCTCAATTGTACACAGAACACTACAGCCACAAAATAAACATTAAGATTCGTAAAAGATAACATAAAGCTTGCAGCGTTGATCAATTCTGAGCATCGTTGGAAACAAAAATCTTGGTTTACGCATTGATTCACGGTGGCCTACCGAAATATCTAGTCAGTGCTGCTAACCTACCAGACAAAGTGATACCGATATACTGAGTTCAAAGAGATGGAAGGCTTTATGGGCCTTGAGGGCGAGATCGAACCTACGACCACTGATTGATCGACGTGTGCAACGCAAAGTACCATCAACCACTACGCGACACGCTTTCTAGCACCCATGTTACAAGAGTTTTGAGTTTTTGTGTGGGTACTGCTGTTGGACGCTAACTTAGTTTTCTGAAGACCGTCAGGTGCCTGAAGAATAGATTGAATTAGAGTCCTGAGACAGCCGCGTTGCAGCCTTCCAAATTCACTACACGTAGCTGCCATTCTTTCAATATTGGAAGGAGCTCTTCCTAAGGAAGTCTGGTATCCATCTCACTAGCTATTACATTCGCTTGGTCTGAACTAGGGTGGAATCATAGTCGTATGCGTCCCATTTATTGCAATGCTTACTAGGAAGATATTCACCATAAAAAAAAGAATAGCCTTGGTTAGTCGGACTTGGATACTGTCAAAATAACAAAGAATCAACAATCGTTTTAGAGAAAAAAAAAAACACAAACAACAAACCTTTAGATAAGATTATACGTAAATTTCATACATCTAACCTTGTAAATCTTTGCCTTGATCATAAGAGCCTCTATAAGTGTTGGTGTATGAGCAATGGCACAATCGGCATATTTCAAGGCTACTGCAGTATTTCCTACACGATCAAAATGCTGAGCAATCAACAGATATAACCAAAGCGCTGATGTTGGAGATTCCATTTCATCTTCGTCACCTGATACAAAGAATAATTAAACCTATTATTTCTAAAAAAAAAAGATATTAACGGAAACAGAGCTTGCCATGAAACGATCTTCCCCTATACCCGTTGTTTTCGACCATTTTCACATAATCCATGAGTAATTGCTCTATGATGTTGACCTAAACAAACAAAAGTTATTTCAAGAAGCCAACAACACCAATTAAGGCTTTTAGAGGAGGAAAACAGTGGATTTATGTGCACACCTTTGCTGGATCAGTGTATAAAGGAACCAAATTTTTGAAAAGACTTGGCTACGCCTTTCCTTAATCCTTTCACTATCCAATCGTCAAGCCGACGACTAAGTTCAGGCACCGCCTAATATATATAAGGGCTGTCGCCGTGGTGCTGCCGCTCTTTTGTGACGCTCAGCAAGACTATCATACATGGAAACACGATCGGATACTGGAGCACCTGCAAACAACAACTTACACTATATATATATATATATATATATATATATATATATATATATGTATATATGTAATGTATGTATATATACATATGTATATATATGTATATGTATACATGAAAACGGCATAGATTTACATAACGTCATAAAAAGACGCGCACCTCATTTCACTTTGAAAACTAGGAAAAAAAAAACAACAGTGGATCCCCTTAAGGATCTAAGGGATGATGACGAATTCTTTCGTGAACTTATCGAGTGACTATAATACACACAGAAATCACAATACCTTGACAAGGGTCCCCTTATAAAGAGGAAAAGTAGAGTGTTTCTAACTAATTATCACAGTGCATCAAACCAGAAATGCAAGTTTAGCACACGGATCAAAACAACAAAGTATGCTGCTTCGCAAAACTGATGCTGCATTAAACTGGAACAATTTGTTCTCTGAACAACTTCCATACACCAAATAAAGGTCAGCTTACGTCAAAACGCTCTGCAAACCTAACGAATAGGAGTATTGGCAAACATTCAAAAGATTAAATCACGGGTTAGACCCGTACCTAGCCGATTTTTTGAAGAGATCCTTTTATAACGCCGCAAAATCAAAATAAAATTATGTTTCACATCGGTCCCGGAGTTTGGCTATTGCTTCGTTAGAACCACGAAAAGCACATGAACATGTAGAAAAATTCTTTTGTACTAGAGTCAGAGGTTTGATTTCTCTGCTGTAGTGCAGAGAAACGCTCTTTAAAAAAATAAGCACAGCGTTGGAACCACTGAAACTTTTGCTATCGAATGACTACTGATAGCTCAAAAAAGAGTTATGCCCATCAAGAAATATGCGCGTGTGAAACATAATTTCATTTTATAATTTGAAGCGTTGTAAAAGAGTCTTTTCGAAAACCGGCCACGTATAGCGCTACCCAGAGATTCAAGCTTTTGAATAATTACTAACACTCCTATGAAAAATTCTTGCACAACCAATGACGGATATTCATTTGTTCCTTTATAAACGAAAACTACCCTAGGATTAGAAAATCTCTAATCAAAAGCGTGTCAATTAGGGTCACTTGATAGGCCGGCGTAAGCAAATAAGAGCTACGTAGGCTAAACCATGAATATAATCCTGATAAGGCATACAGAACAAAAACGCCGACAGACACGCATACACACGAAGCATCTTTTGCATAAAATAAGGACAAGTCACTGATTCGAAAGAAGAGTCAATGGTCACTTTTTGCGACATAGAACAGTGCTATCACATAACAAGAAGACATAAATACATTTCAGCTATCGCTATTCCTTTTTCAATCTTTCAGAGTCAACACCTTTCCCGTTTTTCCTCAACCTCCAATAATCATTCGATAGTTTGATACTGGATGACTTTGAAACCACAGTCTCTTTGTTTCGAGACGGCTCTTCAGAGCTCTGCAATTGAGGAAATAAAATCAAGTTTCACACTCAACGCGCCCTTTTGCTCGTTTGGGATTTGTCGATGGAGTTTCAACACACTTTTAGGATATCTGATAGCATAAATTTGGGTAGAAGGTACGGAAAACCCAGAAATTCCTATAAAAATGAAGACTGATGATGCGCAATGCTTCGATGCCGTTGGTTGCGAAATGTACACAACACAGAGATCCACTTATTCTAGCCGAACAGAAAATGTACACCGAGTGCAAAACTCCATTTTATTTTCGCCGTGACAGCAGACTAAACCTTTCCACAAACCCAGAGCAATATTGAGAGTACCGTTTTTCGAGCTATCGAATGTTGACTAGAAGTCTAGGGGAAAACTTCCTTCCAGCGAAAGACGCAACGAGTGTGAAATTCGATTCTATTTTGCTGCTACAACGCACTCAGAAGTCCATTTCAAGAAACCAGCACACATTCAAAATTGATCAGATTTAAACTAACGAATGCTATTGAAAAAATGAGGAAGAAGAGGAAAAGGTCATTCTGCAAAGAGGTGAAAAATGAGTTTCCGCAATGGAACACTGCCGAAATAGTGAGTCTGACCGAGTGTACTTATGCAAATTGGCGATTCTAGAGAAACAGATACAACACGAAGTTGAGACATGGCCTCAGATAAAGCAGCCATTAGTTCATAAAAGCAGACACTTGGACACCTTTTCCAGTACCCAACATCTTCAACGCAAAAAAAAAGACACCATACCTTCACCAAGCCTCAGACAAATCTCGAGATTGTCGTAATACGATATATTCTCAGGATTTCGATCAATAAGGTGACGATAGACTATTTCTGCCTCTTCCAACCGTTGAAGTTCCATCAATATAGCACCTCAAAAGAACCATAATCATAAAATTATAGTTATGAAACGAAGGGGAAGTGGTAGTGTTCAATATAGGCGACAAACATTCCTTGACATTAAAAAATCATAGACAGTTAATGAACGCTAACAAAACAGTCCGCACTCAGATAGCAACGTCTTTCGAAAGGTTTCTAATGAAAATATCCTCTTCTTACAGCTCGTATCATAATCAAACAGACATTTGCGGTCTAAGTTACCACACAAGGTATGATGACTTGCCTCTTCTTTCCATATACGTTACTTTATCGACAATAACAGCTGCGTTCTCCTCAAGCTTTGATAGAGCTTCTTCCAGCTGGCCAGCTTCGCAAAGAATCATGTTCTGATAGAGGACTAGTTCGGAATGTTCGAAATCGTATGATGAGGGCTGTAACATTTCGGAAATCGGCACTTTTTGGGAAGTAAAATTAACGAAGAGAAAACAACAACCAACTTTATTATTCTGAAGAAATTCCGCAAGAATATTCAAAGCTTTTTCGTAATCCTTCAAAAGATGATAAGCTGTTGCATATCCTATCCAAGAAACACGTTGTGTTGGTCGCAATCGAAGCAAATGGTAACGAGATTCCTGGAAAGCGCTCCCCATATACGTTTTGGTAGCCTACCATTTTTATTTAACGGCTTTTATCAGTTGTGTGATATCACATATACACATCCGATGATGTCGACTGATGCAAAACTTTGAACGTCAGACGGGAATCGGACCCGCATCGCATCCTTTCCAGAGACGCGTACTAACCGATTGCACTACCGAAGCTACTGCTCCGTTACGACTCTTTCTCCAGTACCTGTCAACATAAGCGAGTTCAATGCTAATGCCTTTTTATCAGGCCAAACCGTTGACGGTTGGTTTCTGACAGATCGGTACTTTGTAAAGAAGAAAGAGTGACAGGAGAACAGGAGCCTTGGTAGTGCAACTGGTTTATAATACTCCCCCAGAAGGGGTGAGAAGCGGGTTCGATTACCGCATGAGTATCAAAATTTAGCATATCATCCAGTTTACCGGATCTACCAGTTATTGTCCTTGAACTACCATAGTACAACTTATTATAAATATCTTTATGCAATAGATGTTTGAGAATGAGGATTGAGAGTCTTCATCATTGAAACTCTAGTTTTTTTTTTGGACTAACATATTTTTTGGATTGTGTATGCTCTACATAGCATTTCAAAACGTATCGTTCTTCTAAGTTTCACGATTACTGACGTTTTTTTCAATCTGCCTCACTAATTAGGGTGCTTTATCAAGATACAGAAAATGAAAACTCCAATGTCAGAAACTATTTGAAATGAGGCCTTGGAGAAGAAAGGAGACTCACTACTCCCTGGGGTGATCACCAGAATGTCATGAGGAAAGAAAATTGATAGCTCAGTGGTTTCTGCACTCAAGGAATAATTTGGATCAGAAGGATTGTTCTAAAGCATCTCAACCGAAGCAAAATTCTCAATCACAAAAACACACACAAAGTAACACCGCATATTTATTGCGAAACGACAATGGTTGTCTTTGAATCTGTTCAAAGCTATTACTACCAACAGGAATGACCCACTTCTCCATGTTATTCTGAGATAAGAGATAGGATCTGAACAGTAATGGACTATTGGCCACATATGATCCACCGAAACACATCGCAAATTCGAAATTTACGTTAGCGGACAGTTTTCTCAGATTATCACTTTATCTGACCCGTATCATTATTTTTTTCACTGTGTCGATCACAGCACTTCCAGCATTCGACTTGTCTCCTCGCATTCATCGCTTATCTTGAGGAATTTATCTCCTTCATGAACGTCGTGGAACAGTGGTCAAGCAGATCTTGTAGTCCTGACGATAGCCCTGCTAAGGCATTGCTGAGGCGTTCGCTGATTGATGGCCGGGGGTGCCGGAGGAGGAGGAAAAACCTACACCGAGCATTATAACCACAAGATTACAAACTCCTAAGTATGCAGTAATAAAAACCAGTTTTACTGTGGAAGAAACGAAGAAATCTAAGCTTTAACATAGTCGAACCACTTTTAATAGATTCTTCAAAGTGAAAATATTCATACTGAACACTCTAAGATATTTAACAAACGCGAGCCGAGAGACAAAGAAAAAGTCGTACGATAACAAAAAGGACAAATAGTTTCTCACATTTGCAAGAGCTTCTTCATAACCTTCTCGAGCAAAATATCTCAAAACCACAACTAATCTGATTTTTTGAAAACAGTACCTTATAGCCTTCCAAATCCCTCATCTGAATTTGTAATAAGGATAAATCCCGCAATATTTGCATGTTATCTTTGTCCAAAAATAAGGCACGTTTGTAAGCCTAAATAACAACGAAATTTTTAGAGAAATGTGAAACGTTCCAAGAAAAGAAAAATCGTAAGAGGCACCTTGATCGCTTCATCATATTTCTTGTCGGATCGCTGAACGAGACCATAAACATGCCAGCAAACATATGACTTTAAATCGGCCTACAATTGAAAACTTTTTCAGACATTCACAAAATTTCAGTTGAGAAGTTTTTTCGGATCTCTATCCTAACTACATAGAGTTGGTTTTGAAAGAGATGATTTATGATAGCTCCTCTTATGATCTAGCACATACCACGGAACTGATAAATGACATTTATAAATTATTATAACATCTAAATCCTCATGATTTTCGATCCCAGGTGGGAGTTGAAATAACATTTAAAAAAATTAATAAAAACAAAGAATCAGATAGATGATACACTTTAAATAGTTCCCGGTTAAGTGGGTTCAATGTCGAGATGTGCAGAATATGATAAAGAAAGAGTGGTAGCAAAGCAGTGGTATCATTGGTGTAAAAGTAGCACGCACCACCACCAGAAAGGGTGAGATGCGAGTTCAATTTCCGCTTGGGGTCGGAAGCTTTGCATACCACATGGCATTAAAATGTACAATGATTACAATAAGATTTCATTTACAACTTCTGGCATGTTAAGAAACTATTACTGATTGGTAATGTCGAGTTTGAAGGAAAAGCCGAATTTCAAAGGAATGCTTGCAAAAAACTGACCATTAGACCTCTCTTCACACATTCTTGAGCTTCTTGCTGCTTACCCATGCAGTTCAGAATCAAACCTTTCATGGCAAGTGTTTCTTAACATATATATTTGACAAACAGAAAAAATAACATGATCTGGGAAGATATTTTGAGCCTATCCTGAGGCCTGATATGGCACTTATACAATGATAGACACGTGTTTCTGCATTAAAGCCTAGTTAATAGCACGGTGTCTTTAGGTTCAACCAGACCTTTGCAAGGGATGAACCCCCTTACATACGAAGGGATCGACGCCTAATTATTCACAAATCACAGCGTCACGTGATAGATTTCCTCGACGGTACGCTGACTAACACAGTGAAATAGAATTTACTACCTAAGATGCGGTGATTTGTAGATAATTCGGCGTCGATTCCTTCATATATAAGGGGTTCATCCCCCGCAAAGGACTGGCTGAACGGAAAGCCGCCGTGCTGCTGGTGAGACTGCAATGTCGAAACGCATGCCTAGCACGATATAAGTGCGAATAAAAGATCTCATGAAAAGCTTGAGATGTATTTTCAAAATTATATATCGCCTTGAGCGAGATCTATAAAAACAGTCGAATGAAAAGGAATAAAAACAAAATTAGCAGGATAAGAAAACTATAACTAAAATAAGAACGCACCGCCATGCTCCGAAAAGTTCGGATTGCTTAAGATCGCCTTCGCATATTTCAAACCAAAGCGATACTTCTTTTGTTCGTATGATTTCTGTACTCAAAACTGGACAATGATTAAGGCAGTAGTGACTTTAATTTCAAATTTTCGATGGCAATAGACTCCACGAAACTCACAATTATCTTCTTAAATAGGCCCAGTTCCTTTGATGGTAGCGGTTGACTACTCGACTGACCCGGAGGAGTCATCCCTACACCCTAAACTTCGCCATAGATAATTCTAAGCAACAACGAAGAACAACAACGACAAGGGCGACAACAACAACAACAATTCCTTCAATAAAGGAATTATTTAAGCGAAGAAACCGCGGTAAATATGAAGTTATTCATTCTGAAGTCAAGAGAAACACGAAGACAGTACGCAATGAGTAGAAGGGGCGAGTAAAAGCAAATATTGGCATCAGATCAAAACGATTGGAATCCTCTCCTCTTTGGGGCGTGGGCCACTGATGAAGCAGGCGACACCGCGCGAAACGTACATATGGCTCTTGACGAAACGACCACGAGAAGGCTCTAAACATTCTCACAGACCGTATTTTCTTCGTTAATTAAGCCTGTAGCACGAGGTTGGCAATGAAGATTCAGAAAACTAGTCCGAATAAAATTACTGAGATCGATTAGAACGCTGAAACACGTCCGGCACCCAGGGAAGGGTGGGACGAAGGGGGGGAGGGGAGATTCCTGAAATCACTAAAATTAGCAAGAAGAAAAAAAAAACACGACGAAGTGCATAGTTTTTCCCCTAATAACCGAATATCCACGAGTTTGTTAGAGAAAAAGACTAAGCGAAAAACAAAAAAAAAACAAACTAAGAAAACAGTAAGAAATGGTGGTGACCACAATCACGTGCTATGGCCATCAAGTCTCCCCATCCCTGCTATAAATCAGGGTTTAGTGGGGGGGGGGGGGGGGGGAGGAGGGGCGTGTGGCTTTGATGAAGCCGAGGCTACTGATAGGATAGTCGTCGGTCGGTCTTGGGAATCACTAGAATGAGAAGGAGGCCTGGAAACAATGAGCAACGATGGGAGCCGAACCGTCGCGCACCGCCCTGGCGATATGGTGACATCTTGAGGCAAATGCCGCGATACATTGTTGTTAGATAGGTCTACTCCTAGGAGAAAAAAAAGATAAAAGGATAAAGCATAAAGCTTTAGGGTTTATCAATCCCTGAGGGACGGCCATACATTCGTCCTGAATTTCTAACCTCATCTTAAGGTCAGTGAATGCATGTCTGGCCCTTACAATGACTCGCGGGTGGCGATCCGGAGAATCATGTAAGCACTGCTTCTCCTCCCAGACAAGTCTGAAACCAGTCGAGTATCAATAACCGGCTCCTAAGGGATGGACGGCTTAGTAAGCAATGAGCGAGATCGAGCTATCGACCTTACGTGCAACGCAGTGCACCTCTAACTACTGCGTCTATATGCGCTTTTTAAAAAAACAGGCAAGAAGTAAAGATAAGAAGCAGACTTTTAGAGGGAAAACTTTAAAACATCGAGCATAATATTAAAGGACAAGAGAGCACTGGGTCTACAATTTGTCCGTAGAGCAGATTATTTTCTGGCGCCACCGTTGTATCCACGCACTTGTGGCTGCCTGTCTCTTAACCCTTGAGGACCACCGCTGATAGGCACGCGACGTCGAGCCGTCGCTTGCACGGTAGTGCTAGGGGTCGGCACCTGCGTCTTTGTGCGAGAATGTCGTGCTGCCTGCTTCTGTGTTCCCACGAAATGCGCCCCTATACTCGCGGGGTGCGCCGCCACCATGACAGTGGTTGAGTGAAATTTGACGTCGCGCGGCATGGGATGAAACGTCCCACGTGGTCCTTATAGGGTTAACGGGTTTTCTGCAACTTGACTAGTTATCAATGAGACTTCAATCAGAGGGTTGAACTAAGCCAACTGTCAGTGTGGCCAACCTGTCACTTCATCGAGATGGGGGCTGAGGTCAACGATTCCAAGTTATTATTCCCTGCTCGCCCCGCCCCCCCCCCCCCTCCCCCCACTGATTTTGTCGGTCTCCT